AATTTAACTACAGACTATTATATTTTTCACATATTTTAAAGATAACATCAATAATAATTCTTAGCCAATAGCTCTATTTGACCAAAAAATAGTTTATTGCGCGTATTTAAATGTTTAATTATTTTATATTCGTTATGTCGGATAAATACAATGAACAACATTACGCGGTAGCATGTGCGATCGTCGTCACCAAAGTTATACTTTTAAAGATGTCTAATATCACACGTATTTTTTTTTATTTATAATATTTCTTTTAAACGTGTTTCGAAAAGAATATTAATTTAAAATCAACAACTGAATAGAAAAATTATCCACATTCAAAGCAAAACTAATGGGAAAGTGGGACTAATTCATTTAGGAGAAACATAAAAATTCACCATATTGACGCCATTGATGCTTAAGTTAGGTAATATATACATATTGAAATAAAAGAAATGAACTACAGTGTCGCTGCTATATAGTGTAACACTCTTAAAAATAAGAATTAATTTTAATTGTTTCGTAAAACAATTCTCTCACTATTCCTGTGAGTGTCACTTTCTATGAGTGCAAACGATTTTCGTTTAAAGCAAAATATTTAGAATCAGCTTAAGGAAAAATTCGAAACGTTTGATGGTTAAACAGCTTTTCGATTGAAGATTTTCTGCAGGTAGAATCTTAAAGCATTTGAAATCTCTTGGGTTTAATAGAACATTTATATATAGAACTATAAATCGATTATTGGATACAAGTAGCTGGAAAGATCGACCCAGGTCTGGTCGTCCACGCTCAGTTCGTACAAAAGAGCACTTTAAAAGAATTCGTGAAAAGATACGCAGAAATCTAGAACATTCGGCTAATAAAATGTGGATGAAGAAAAGAGCGCGAGTGGGAAAGTTATATTAAATGTAGATTTGGGTTTGCACGCTTATCACAAAACGAAAAGTTCAAGGCTTGACAATTGAACAAAAATTAAGAAAAGATACAAAGATGTTAGAAATTCCTGAACCGGCATGGTAGCAAAAGTTTTGACACTATAATCTTTTCTGGTGAGAAAATATTTTACACAGAACAATGCCATAATGTTAAAAATAATGTTGTATATTCAGTAACCCTCGATGATATACCTAAAAATGTTCAAACTGTAAGACTCTATCAGAACAAGAAGTCTATAATGGTTTGGGCTGCAGTGTGAAACAACGGAAAATTTCCTCTGAAATTCATCGATAAAGAGGTAAAATTCAATGCTGATTATTACAAAAAGGAAGTATTGGCTACACATATATTGCCACATGCTGATAGGTTGTATCCCGAAAAGTATTGGATATTTCAGCAAGGTTCTGCACCATCGCACCGAGCCAAATCAATTCAGGTTTGACTCAATTGCCCGAAGCTTATTAAGCAAGAAGATTGGGCCCCCTTTTCCACTGGATCTAAATCCCTTAGACTATTGTGTTAGGGGATTCCAGAGTCTAAAGTTAATGTTAAACAGCACAGAAGTTTAGACTCTCTCAGAGCTTTTTATACCGTGAATGTTTCGAATTACTTCTTAAAATTATTCGTGCCATCATCGGACAATGGCGTAAGAGATTATCTTTAGTAATTGGTAAAGAAGGTGGTTGATTCGAATAAAAGTTTTTAAGGTAAATATCCATTTATAGTGTTCATCATATTTCTGTATTTATTATTTTCTATATATTATCTGTAGAATAAAATGATTCGATATTTGTAACAGTATTTTGTAGCGATTCTGTATGTACTGGAAAGCAAAAGTAATGGAGTGGAGATATTTATTTGTCTAGAAGAACTGTAAAAAATCGCCATACTATCATTGACGATAGTGTTGCTAATAATTTGTTAACAGATATAAAAAAACGTTTGTACTAAAAAGCAAAAACAAGGGAGAAAAGATGCTGATTTATTTTGGGGAGCAGTAAGAATTCGCCATATTATTATTGACATTAATGCTTTATTAATATTGATATCAATGAGCTATAAAGCGAAGTTAAAGGGAGAAAGATTAATAGGAAATTCGTCTAGAAAACCGTAGAAAATCGCCATTCGTAGATGACGCTTGTTTATTTCGTACTACTGACTGTCATATATACTACTACTAGTAGTATGGTAATTGAAACAGTTTTGATAAGAATTTTACAATGGGTTTTCCGTAGTTTCAGAAATATTTTTTCAGTGGCAGCCAAGATAGTGTATTAATATTTTAATGAATTGGAATTAAAAGAACTTTGTTCCACTACTACTTATAAATAATTTAACAGTAAATTAAAGGCCAGATAGAGAAATGGTTTGGTTACGTTTCAAAATCCTTATCAAATTCTAATAAAAATTCTATTTAAAAAAAAATAGCGTTAGTCAGCTGTCACTGACAAATGTATTTTTCACAAAATTCAAATGTATAAGGGTTATGTAATAGTACCATATACACTAATATAGGCATAAAATATTATATTGATATATTTGGTGATTATTAAAGCAGAGCCAATACTGAGCCGTTTTAATACCGAAAATTAAGTGGAAATAAGTGTTTTACGGCTAAGGGAGTAGGCTTAAGGGATATATACGCAAAAAATTACTCGATAGGGGTAAATTTTGACTATTATGAGTAAGCCGCGAGCAATAGCATCATGGCCCATTGATGCTAAATACATTTTATCTTAATTCTAATGGAATGAACTACACAAAACGAATTTTACTTACTTCAATAACGATAAGTTACCAAAAATGAGCAACATATAATGTTGAATAAAAAAAAATTTTTTTTTTAGCTACATTAATTGAAAAACTTAGTAGAAGGACCAGGAAAGTAAAATTTTCAGAACGAAAAAAAAGTTGTAACTGAACAATTTTATTACCAATTTAATAGAAGGAAAAAAAAATAGCTAAAAAAAAATTTTTTTTTAGCTACATTAATTGAAAAACTTAGTAGAAGGACCAGGTAAGTAAAATTTTCAGAACGAAAAAAAAGTTGTAACTGAGCAATTTTATTACCAATTTAATAGAAGGAGGGACCAATAATTCTTTGCTTTATTTTATTTATCACTGCTTTATTTAATTTGAAACAAAAATCATGCAAATATGCTAAAAACCGATGTGGATTAGTTATGCTAAGATTAAAGTAAAGTAAAAAAAAAGTTCTGTTACATTAAACATACCCATATTGATGCATCCACTTTATGTTATTTTCTCTGATTCATTAATTTCCTTAAAACTATGACTTAGCCGGTTCTTCCATCAAACTCCTTAGTAGTGTCTGTTAATACTTTTCAGCTTTGAGCATGATTTCGTAGTGTTTCTCATTACTGATTTATTGATTCTTTACTTATTTTTTACTCATCCCGTGTGAACGGGTATTCAGCTAGTTATTAATAAAAATATTAGTATTTTAAAATGATTTTTTCTTTCTGTTTTAAACGGTAAATAAGAAACACTTCTAACTTCCTCGTACTGAATACAATTACTTTTGCGTACAATTTTGTCTTTAATATTAAATTACGCCAAAGGAATAAAAAAAAATTGCAAATATTTTTTTTCTTGCACTAAACAAAATTATATTCTTTGATACTTCTAATTTTTTATTCTTAAAATCATACAGAAGGAAGTAAAAAAAGTATTTTACGCATTAATTGAATATTTTGCACCATTTCATAATTTTTATCATGAAGAGTGAAGAGATAATTGTATTTTAGCAAATTTAATTCCTAGAAATTTAATGTTTTATTCTAGACAACAATGTATCAGATATATTTTTTAAACTAACTATTGAGATTCCATTTTAAGAGATGCTTTGTTTTCATATGTCGTGTTGAAATGAGATCTGAAAGTTCATTTTCATAGCATTATTACAATTTTTCGCTTCAAAAAGTGGGCAGAACTTCTGCTATGCTCAAAAAAGTTCCATGGGTATGCTTGTGACTGGGAAGGAATTCTTTAAAATTTACTTTCGCTAAATTTTATACATACAATTTAGAAATATTAAGTAATATAATTTTATTAAACACGCGAGAGTTTAAAAGTGAATCTCATTATTGCAACATTATATTGAAAAACAAAATGCTTATCTAAAAATCAATTACTCTTTTATTATTAGTTCACAAAGTATTTGAAATGTGTTTTTCGTTACCAAATATTATTATTGTTTAATTTTAGAAACGAATACGTTCCACGTATTTGGGATATGATTGTGATAAACCACACACTTTTCAAAGGTTTTACGTTAAATTATTACTAAGTTCTTTACGATTCAGAAATTTCTACTAGATATAAGCATAGCACGCATCTTATTGCCTGCTTAGAAATTGTATTTCTAACCTCCTACTTGAAACTACTTGAAAATTAGGCTTATCGTAATATTGCCCCAAGACTTTTATTTATAAAATTACTATCATTCAGATATGGCATACAGTCATCCAGGTATGGTTCGAACAAATTATTAACAATTATATGAGAAATAAGACTATTGACCCCAATGACGTCATTTTTAAACATTGGTTTTAAGTATTTCATAGTCTGCTAACTTAAGCCTGACATATGCTTAATTTTTAACAAGTATAAAATATAGTTAATTATTGGCAGAAGTACTTAAAAATAGAACGAAAGAAAAATGAGGAAGTTTAGCTTTAAGTTGAGTGGGTGTATATGAAAAGAGGGTTTTGATATGATTAAGAAGATAATGTTTGATAAAACACTATAAAAAAATCTAATTCATTTAAAATTGAAAAACAAGCCAAGCTAAGCTCATTAATTATTATTTGACATTTAATTGTCCTCTGAGGTGAAAGAAATTGTAATGTATCGAGATAATAAAGAAAGTATGAAATATATTGTTTATTTTAGAATGACATTAACGCAAATTAGAGACGCCTTTTCTATAAATAACTTCTGTTTAGAAAAGATTAAAATTGACTATATGACCTTTTTTCACCATGTATTTCCCATTCATTCATTTAACTTTTTTTTAAAACCAACTGTTAGTGATGGAAAGTAATCTAAAGTTTCACTTCCAGATCCTCATTTGATGAAGATATCCCGAAAGCGAAAGCAGGGGCGCAAGCGCCACCGCCTTTGCACCAACCAGGGCGTTTCGTGTGGGTCGACAAGAGGAGGGGACAAGGCGCGCTGGAAATTTAGCGCATGTTTGGAGGATTCGTCGCTTTTTCGTTGCATTTCTGAATCCATATAAAGAAACTCCAGCCACAATTTAAGTCACTTAACAAGAAAAACTCTATCAAAAATCTGTGAAACATTTCTACAGTTCGAAGTTCCAAGCTTGTAACATTTGTTTTAGGTAAGTTCCCTTTTTTATTTAAAATTTCTTGATGGTCTAATTACCAGCTACATTGCTGTTTTAGGTAAAATTAAATAAAAATAAATTTTTTTTTTAAAGTTCGACACCTTTTGTTAAACGTTCACTTAAAGTAGTGTTTCCCAAACTTATGAATTTTGTGTACCCTTTCGAAATTTTTCGTAACGCTGTGTACCACTAATAAAAAAATTAAATGTATTTTTTACTGTAAAAAAATTGCACAAAAGTTAAAAATCACAACTGACTGTTGACACCACTAATTATTAAATGTTAACTCTGCAAAAAATAGCCAATAGAAAAATACATAATCGTAAATTTTCATGGCTAGCTTTGTTTTTAAATAAAATGTTTTAAAATTTTCCTATGTTGAAAGATATTTCGCATAAGAACGCGTACCCCCGCTAAACTGTTCCCGTACCCATGGGGGTGCGCGTACCACAATTTGAGAAACACTTACTTAAAGTAATTGCATGAAATCGAATGAAATAAGCAAAAATTAGTTTTTTAGATTATGTTAGAAAGAGTAGTTTGAGAGATATGTATTCAATATTGTATGTTGTTTAATAATTTTTTGTTGAAATGGAGAATATGCAAAAAAAATTTAAAGAGAAAAAAAAGATGGAAATTTTATATTTCTATTTTGATTACTGTTAATTATTCGTAAAACAGTAATATTATAAATACGTATATCTTATAAACCGTAAAAATTACGGTTTATACGATATTTTGTTTCGTAATATATTCCATTGAAAATGGGCTTTATAGTGAAATATACCGGCATCTTGAATGCCGGTACTTTTTACCGTACTTTGTTCAGGAATGTTTTACAGTGTGGTAGTAAAATAAAGCATTCAAAAAGCAACCTATACTAGGTGTCCATATAATCACCAATTTCGATATGAATATATTTTATAAACTTTTTCAACAAACTTTCGCATAACAGATTACAGAATAAGAGTTAGGTTTTAAAATAAAACTATTATGATTTGACGAAGCATTTTCAAGGTCAATCATAGTGAAAAAAATTTGCTTATTTGTCATATAAAACTGGAGTAAGAATCCTTAATGTATCGGGAATTTTTTTTATCCATTTTTTTACAAAGATTCTAGAAATATATTTACAAAAAAGTAAATGCATTACGAATTATTTTATATCGTGCTGTAAAGTGAAAACCTATCATAGGAATATAATTGCGAATTCATAAAAACAAAGGAAGTAGTTGTTATTATACGCTAATGTGAAACAGTGATTCAAAAAGGAAAAAAATTCAATCGTCAAGTTTTCTTAGTCATTTTATTTTTTTAAAAAAACTCATCAAAAACATATACTAAATAATTGAAATTAAAAAAATTTCAACGTAATTTAATTCGGAATTTTTTACAGTGTAATTTCTTTTGTACGAAGGGATTTTTATTGCAGTTATCGTTTTTGATAAATTAAACATTAACTTTTGGGCCATTTTTATAGTACAATAGCCTTTCATCAGCTAAGAAATTCAAAAACATATGTTTTACACATAACCGAAACTATATAAATGATATTCAAAATTGTTACATTTTTAAGCAAGTCGGATAAAAATTGAAAAGAATACGGACATTATCTATTTTTCGGGTATTTGGTTTTACAAAACTGTTTCATTAACGAGTTTAAATTTTGTTTAAAAGATATAGGATAATGCGAAAAATAAAAATCTATGTTTTCAATTATCATGCTGTTTTAAAATTCACCCAGAAAAACATACTTATTTTGGGGTATATATATTTTATTATATTATTGATCAAAATTTTTAAATTGTTTAGCCCACTTTGAATAAAAACACTGACATTTGCACTGAAGCCTTTGTAATTTTTTGTATCTGACAGTTTTAAAATTAAAATATGGATACTTTCATTACAACTAAATAACATTGTTAAGTATTCTTCTTCTTTTAACGAGGTATTCTTTATTTTTTGTACACTTTGAAGTAGTTCCAGATTTTGATGAATTTGAAGAACAAAGACAAAAAAGATTTTGTAATGTTGCTCAAATTTATTTACAGATAATTGACTTGATTTTTGTAAATGTCGATATATTGATAATTTTTTTTTCTGGAATTTAAGCTGAAATATCGCTTGAGTAAATTTTTCATCATTTTAAATTTGTATAATATTTTCACGTGTTTTTACTTCTCTCGAGTATTCTGAAAAATTAGAGTGAACTAATTGACTTAACATTCGAAAAATTGGGAATTTATGATATGAATAAATTAATATTGTAAAAACTAAGGTAAAATATTTCGTTAATTTGATGTTGAAAAATCCCAAAAAGGTGTTTTAAGGAATATTTCGTTTCAAATTAACCCCAAATCAAGCGTTCACATACACTTGACGCATAACACCATCCATGAAAAATGATCGCATCGAGTTCATTCGCATTCACACCATTTGTGTATTATTTTTGCTTCCGAAAGCACCAACCTTGACGTAATTTGGATATTATAAGTAGGTTTTTACAATCAATAATGTGAATTAGCTGTTGTTTTGTAATATTTAATTTTTATAAGCTCGCGTTCGATTAAGCCTAATTCGAATTAATCTTAATATTCTTTCTGTTCTAACTGTAACTAATTTTATTTTAGTATAGTGTGTAGATACATCCGAAACTTACTATTCTTACATTTAATTGTATTGTAAAATTAACTTAACTGACTCTTATGTGAATCATGTCTTACTTGTATAGATTTTAGCGTTTACTTTATCCCAAAATTAATGTAAAAGATCATGTTTTTGCTCTACAACACTATAGTGGAGTAAACAAGTTGCCAGCTATAGTTGATCCTCCTATAGATGATTCAGCTCTTGATAAACTCACTAAACCCAAACGCCTTTTCCTCTAATCTTTACAGAAAACATGTTACTACATTTTTTTTCTCTCTCGTTTGTTATAAAATTGCTAATATCTTCTTCCGGTTTGGTTTTATTTTGATGTTTAGGCAACAAAACTAAATGTAAGTTTCTTAAAGATTCTATTAGTTTTGATAATCGCTGGGCAAAGCGAACTTGATCAGACGAGCTTTAAAGTTTAAACTTTACGAATAAGATAGATATGTCCGTTATCAAGAATACGAAGAATCGTCAATTGTTGCGCATTGTTGGAATCTTGGGACATAAATTCAATTTCGAGAATGCGAAAGTTATTTTCATCCCAGTCCCAATACCTCATTTTGATGCCTCGGATTCTTGGTGTCAGCCACTGTGGTTTTTCATCTTTTTTTCTCTCACGGCAACTGTGGTTTCTCTGGACTTGTTTCTCACCTTCATTTTTCATTTCTTGCGCTGGCAACTTTGCGTTTTATATTCCAAATCATTTTTAATTCTTCTCATTGACGTCTAGAAAGTCTTGAAAATGAGCACCTGATTTTGAGAGCTGGAAACATGTTGACTGTTCTTTCCTTTTTGTATGTTTTTGAAGCTAATGAAATTTTAATCAAGCAATACTTTTCATCAGTATCTATACTAAAACTGGAACTGTAATGATGCAGTTTTAATGGGTACCAAATATACTAGTTTTACCTACATTAACATCTTACTAAAATCTGATTAAAGTTGCTAAAATTACCATAATACCAAAAGCGCCTACTACCAAAATTAATTAAGCATCATTATCGTCAATAATAGTACATTCCTCTTTAACGAATTAGTAACATTTCCTCCTTAACTTTGTATTTCAGTACAAAGTTTGAAGTTTTATTTAAATTAGTACTTTTTAACAAAAGTAATGAAGAATCATTGGTTTCAATAATATTATGGCGACTTTTTACTTTTTTTCAAAACAAATTTGTACCATTTCACAATTAATTTTGCTATTTAGTACATAATTCCTTTTATTTATTCAGATATAGTAATTCATATTATTTATTTCAGTTATAGCAGTTATAGTAAAATTAATTAAGCGTATTTGGTATCAAAAATAGCATGTGGAGTCTTTGCTTTTCTCATTAACGAAGTAGTGAAATTTCTCCATTAGTTATGCGTTTTAGTACTGAGTTTATTTTTTTTCATTTCAGTTACTACCTATTACCAAACTTAATTAAGCATCATGGGGATCAATAATAGTACGGCGATTTACAAAGCTTCTCCTAAATGAATTTGTGTCATTTATCTATTGCTTTTTCTCTTTAGTAGGTAGCTTATTTTTTTATTCATTTTTTATTCCAATTAATACCTTCTGGGCCGTCGTGGCTCAGGGGATAGAGCGTTTGACTATCAGTGAGGTGAACCGGGTTCGAATACCAGCGATGGCTGGTCGATACAAATTTCGCATCCGGTTTGCACCGACTATAGTGCTGATGTAAAATATGCTCAGTTCATCACGGATCATGGCCTACAGTCCCCTTGCGGTCAGACCAACCATGGGAGGTCTTCATGATTTTCTCCTCCTTGTAACGCAAATGCGGGTTAGTTCCATCAAAAAGTTCTCCACGAAGGCAAATTTCTCCCAATACTTGATCTAGGAGTTCTTTCGTCTTCCGGATTGGGTTTTAAATTACTAGGTTGCGAAGTTGAGCACTAGTAGTCGTAACCCGAAAAATTGGATCAGCTGTTCAACGATGGTTATAAAATGAAATAAAATTAATGCTTTCTACCGAATTTAATCAAACATCATAGACGTCAATAACATGGCAATTTTTTACCTTTTTCCCATTATCTTAGTCCACTTTTTCTCCACTAAATTTGCTTTTCAGTGCACAACTTTTTTTTATTAATTTTAAATACTAGTGATTTTTAATTCTTTAATTGGATAGAAATGCGTTTGAAAAGCATAATTATATTAAAAAAAACTAAACATCTAAATTATAAGTTAAGGTATGTTTCTAAAATGTGTACGTAATTGAAATAGGTAAAAATTAAATAAATGATTTTTTTGAAAACCCAATTGAATTCTCCCAATTCTTCTTAATTTCATCAACTATTTTTATTCCATTAAACTATAAATTTATATC